GGAGGCTGAGCTGGGAGGATTGCCTGAGCCCAGATCGAAGCTGCAGTGAGCTGCAGGGATCATGTCATTGCACGCCAGCCTGGGCAGCAGAACAAGACCCTGTCTCCAAAAATATGAAAAAGATAAAAAGGAAGAAATAGGTTATGGAAAAGGGCTTTTCTCCATAGAGTGTCTTTCTGAGAATTAGAGTCTAAAGGGGATTCAAGACCACACCGGAAATTCAGAGCCCGCCGCTGTGGCAAGAACGGCCTGGGGTCAGGGCTGGCTGTGACAGGGGCTGCCTTAGCCCTGGCTCTAGGGGCATCTTCAGGACACTGTGACACCCTCAAATTCTGGAGTGGTATTAAGGGCTACGGAGAGCCCTCTGGGAATTACAGATTCTTTCTAGAGCAAGACCAAACCCTGCTTTAGCTTTTAATTGATCTCAAAAACTGCAAGAATTCCCCCAAAAGAGAAGGCATTCCCAGGACCCTACTGACAGAGAATTTGCGCCCCTTTGGAGTGGGCCATTCGGAGAGGCCAAGGGCCTTCTTCCTCTGACCTGTCATCTGGGATTTGCCTGAGCGTCTCTGAAACTAGCGTTCCTAGGAAGCAGAGAGAAACAGATGACGCGGCTATGCCAAGCTCAACCTGAGTGACTGAAGTCGTTCAGCACAAGGCTTGGCACAGCCTCCTGCCGCTCTTCTCAGAGAACACTAATGTGCCAGAGCTTTGTCTTTCTCAGATGGACTCATGTCCTTTGCTGGTGGAAAACTGCTGATCGTGGGAGAAAATGCAACAGCACACATTTTTGCAACATACCCAGCTCCGTATCTATCTCTGACGAATGCATTTGCAGATCAAGTAAGTGTAAATTCAACAGAGACTTAACATTGGTAAGAAGATATGCCCTCATGAGGGGAACGCATTGGAGAATTAGAGACAATCTGAAAGGAGAGGTTGTATTTCCAAAGACAGAGGTTTCTGGGCATAACCCAAGCTTTCTTGATAATCGTTTTACCTTTGCAGGGAGCTGATAACACCAGAAAAGTTTTCTCCTTCCTCTTCAATGTATACCCTTGTTTCACATTAGTTCAGATCCAGAAAAGAGTGAATGACTAAACATTTCAACCACTGCAGACACAAATGGAGTTCACTCCCCTAGTGTTTCTCTTGAACACGTGGTCTAAGTGTGGAGGCCACAGAAGAAGACATTTCTATTTCAAATCAAACACCGGGAAGGGTGGTAGTTGAGCCTACGCTATCATTGATCCTCTGCGTCTCACCATGTGTGTAGGTTTATTTATTTAAACTCTCAAGGGGGCTAGAGGTATCTCTGCCTTACTGACATTTAAACAAGCTTCTGCCACCCAAGCATACCGCAGTGTAACCAAGAGCACACCTATCTGGTCAGTTTATGCAGGACTAACATTGCCAATTCCAAAGACTCTTCCTCCCTTACTGTGTCCCAGAAAGGCTGCTGGTCATCTTGGTCAGGACAGTGGAAGGAAGGCTACACTTTTCAGTATCTCTAAGTTCTTCTCCTATAATCAGGACTTATACAGTGGGGCAGATCAGAACAGGCAAAAGTGCATCTTCCGGTTCATCATCTATGTGTACTTCCATTCAATGTATGGATGAAAGACTGTGCCCTCATGTCCTTAGCCTTCTTATTTTCCACTTTAATCAATAAATCGAATAGGCAACGAGTGTTTATTAAAAACTCACCATGTGCTTGGCCCTGTGTCTGGAGCCTGAAAGACTGATAAGTAAATGTGAGTTGTAAAGATCCAAGATGCAGAGTCCGAATGCTTGAATTAAAACACCTGTTCTGCCTCCAACTTCCTACGTGGCTTCAGCAAACTACTGAACTTCTTGGGTGGCAAGTTTTTCACTTGTAAAGTGGGAATGATATGAGCTGTCATGAAGTTACTTATGAGGACAAAAAGAATAATAATAGAAAAATGCATCATAAACAGTATCTGCCCAGAAGTGTAGAATCTAGTTGAAGAGCATTGAATAGGAAACAATGCGAAGTAAGATATAATTAGATAGGGCTGGACATGGTGGCTCACATCTTAATCAATGCCTGCATTTTGGGAGGCCAAGGTGGGCAGGTCACTTGGGCCCAGGAGTTTACTACCAGCCTGGGCAACATGGCAAAACCCTGCCTCTACCAAAAATACAAAAACTAGCCATGTGTGGTCGTGCTTGCCTGTAGTCCCAGCTACCTGGAAGGCTGAGGCTGGAGGACAGCTTGCACCCAGGAGTTGGAGGCTGCAGTGAGCTGTGATTGCACCACTACACTTCAGTCTGGGAAAAAAGAAAAGAAAAGAAAAATATATAATTAGATAGCAAAGTGGAGCATAGAGGCCATATTATAATAGAAATTTGAAGCAGAGAGCCTAGAAGAGCTAGAATAATAGAAAAAGTTTCAGTGGAAAAGATACAGAGAGTTGTGGCTGCCAGAAAAAAAAAAAAGCCACAGAGCTGCAGGAATAAAGCATTGTGTTCAGATGAAGTAGCTGAAGGTCTTATTCCACTCAGTACGTGACTGTTAGACTCACTTCCAAATATTGCCCTTTCCGGGGATAAGCTATTGAAGAAGAAGAACCTGAAAAGGTGATGCTGTTGCACAAGCACTGGGTGCAGAAGAGGTGTGGGGTGTGGGGTTTGGGTGGGGAGGGAGAAGCGATGAGACAGCACACGACAGTAGCTGTACAGATCTGAAGGGATGTCAAGTGGGAAAGAGATTAGAATTGATACGTACACACCTTCTACCCCCAAGGAGATGTGGTGGAACCATAGTGCCTGGTACATAATAGGGGCCCCAAAAATATTTATTAAATGAATAGACAAGTCCACAAATGAATGAAATTATGGTCAAATAAAGTTACGTGTGACAGAAGGAAGACTTTTCCAGAAATAGGGCTTAGCTAAAAGTAGGCCCCAGGACAAGAGTCACTGGGGGTGTTAGACGCTGGACTATTCCTCCTCTTCTCAGGGCTGGGAATGGAGGGATTCTTGAGGAGATTCAAACATCAGGTGGTGGACAGGGTGGGATGCATCACCTTCCAGCTCCCTTCTAGCTCTGAGACTAGATTAGCCGGTTAGAAATGGAAGGCGTTTTCCAAGTAGGGAACACTGGAGTTATCTGAAGGAAGAGGGCAGGAGGGTAGTTGTTTCATAAACTAGGACAAGCAATACAGGAAGAGGTATGAGGACGGAGAACTAAGGGAGGAGGAGGAAGTTCTGAAGGCAGGATGACCGGATGGACAGATGGACAAGGCCATTTTTTCTAGCTTCAAAGCACCAGGAGTCTATTCTCATAGGCAGCTCAGGAAGGACGGGGAGTGAAGGACCTTTTGAACCTTAAGTGCCCACACAGACCTAGAGCAACTAACTCTATCTGCTGAGCCAACAAGGGTACCAAGGGGTTCTCCAGAATAAACTCTGGGATGGGTAACAGTTGCAAAGTTTCTCGGGGTTCCTATCGCCATTCAGATCAGGCCAAATGCACGTTATAATGAAGAAGACGGGAATGAAGTAAGGACCTGTTGAAGGACTTTGGAAATTTCTCCTGTGAATTAATCTCGCTTCTGTTGGAGGCGAGAGAGGAAGAATGTGACTGTCTCAAACCTTGACTTCAATTGGAAAGAACTTTGTCTCTGTTCCTTGTGATTTGGACCCACAGCCACTTCCCTGTAGTCTCGGGCTGTTCCGAGGATCTGGGAGTAAAGAGAAGCCTCATCCCCATAGATGTTCAGCCCAGAGAGACCCCTCACCACCGAGTCCTGAGCAGTGCCTGCCTCCTTCCTATAGACACATCCTTGCTTCCCTCCTGAGAGCCTTCAGGTCTCAGGGGTATCCCTGACACAAGGCCACACCAAGGACAGGATACCTGCAGTCCTCAGGAGACCCAGTCCTGGCCCTGCCTCTTACCATGAGTTTGCCCTTGTGCTAGTTACTGAGAACCTTCCAAAGCCTCAGTTCAGTCTTCTGATAAGTAGCGTTAATAGCATGACTCATACACCACAGCAATAAAATACGTGGTGCGTACTAGGCAGTCAACAAGAAGTAACTTCTCTGCCTTTAGCCAACCTTCTCTTCCTCCCGACCTTCCTCCCTCTCTCTCTTTCTTCCACCTTTGTTCTTCTAATGCGATCTTGTAGAATTTCACACATTTTCCAATTCCTGTCATCAAGATGTTTCACCAAGTCTTCCGGTCACAGGAAATTGCTTGGTATCTAGCCTGTACCTCTTCTTTTATTTTTTTTTATTTTGAGACGGAGTCTCGCTGCGTCGCCCAAGCTGGAGTACAGTGCAGTGGCCCGATCGAAGCTAACTACAACCTCCGCCTCCTGGGTTCAAGTGATTTTTCCTGCCTCAGCCTTCTGAGTAGCTGAGATCACCAGTATGCACCACCACTCCCAGCTAATTTTTGCATTTTCAGTAGAGGCAGGGTTTCCCCATGTGGGCCAAGCTAGTCTCAAACTCCCGACCTCATGCTGCATCCGCTTCAGCCTCCCAAAGCTATCTTGAGCAACGTTGGCCTTCAACCATATTCCGAGCTTTCTTCACTGTGTCCTTGTCTCAGAGTGAGTTGGCAATTTCTCTAAGGTCTGTGGTTGTTAAGCCCGTTACCATGTACATAGTCAAGTAGAAAAAGCAAATATTAGAAAACCCTGATGCTCTCGGGAGGCCGAGGCGGGCAGATCAGGAGGTGAAGAGATTGAGACCATCCTGGCCAACATGGTGAAATCCATTCTCTTCTAAAAATACAAAAATTAGTTGGGTGTGGTGGCGTGAGCCTGTAGTCCCAGCTACTCAGGAGGCTGAGGCAGAAGAATTGCTTGAACCCGGGAGGTGGAGGTTGCGGTGAGCCGAGATCGCGCCATTGCACTCCAGCCTGGGCAACAAGAGCGAGATTCCGTCTCAAAACAAAAAAAGAAAACCCTATGCTCTAACCGTTAGGAAACACTGAAGGCTCTCTGTACTCCTTAGGCTTTGGAGAGAGTTCCAAAAACTGCCGATTATCAGTCAGTCAACACCCAACAGGGTTCTTGGCAATCACAACCCTATTTTTGGGTCACCTTATCTCAAGATTACTAAATTGTTCAGCTCTAATTATTGATAAAGCATTTTCCATGGTTTAATTAATAATCATTTATTCACCCGATAACTACTTACTGGGCACCCACTTAGCCAGGTGCAGCTCTGTGCTCTTTCTTCTTCAGCGAGTTCAGAGCCTGAGTCTAAATCTAACAAGTAAACAGATATTCTTTTGCAGAGTGACAAGGACAGTGATAGAACAAAAGTCAGAATTCCACGAAAGCCCAGAGGCGGGAGCTTTTACTCTGCAGGAGAAAGCTGGAGAAGGCTTTCTAAAGAAGAGTGCTCTTGGGGGAACATGTGTCTTTTAATATTAAGTAAAAATTCTTTTGGGCAGGGCGCAGTGGCTCACGCCTGTAATCCCAGCACTTTGGGAGGCCGAGGCGGGTGGATCACGAGGTCAAGAGATCGAGACCATCCTGGTCAACAAGGTGAAACCCCGTCTCTACTATAAATACCAAAAATTAGCTGGGCATGGTGGTGCGTGCCTGTAATCCCAGCTACCCAGGAGGCTGAGGCAGGAGAATTGCCTGAACCCAGGAGGCAGAGGTTGCAGTGAGCCGAGATGGCACCATTGCACTCCAGCCTGGGTAACAAGAGCGAAACTCCGTCTCAAAAAAAAAAAAAAAATTATTTTACCATTTTTATTTTGGAAAGCAGATGAAATGATTATGAACTTAAACTTTAAAATCAGTTGCCCGATTCCCATCCCGATTCTTCTGCTTACAAGTTTGACATTGGGCAAGTTCCTGAGAACAAGTCTGAACCTCATTCTACCCAAGTTTTCTTATCTGTAAACTGAGAATAAAAACAAGATTTACCTCCCAGCATTATTAGGAAGTTTTAACATGATAAAGCATATGAAGTACCTGCCACATGACAAATGCTCAATCGATAACAGCCGTCATTTAAATGTTAAAGTAAAATCGCAGTTTGGAAAATTAGGAACATGGAAACCAGCTGTCGCCGGCCAGTTCGGAATACCTGTTATCATTTTTGTTCATTGTCTCGAATTTTTCTTAATGGGTGTTTTTAAATAGAGTCGACCCTACAAATCCGTGGATTCTGCATCGACAGATTTAACCAACCATGGGTCAAAAATATTTTTTGAATTTGCATTTGTATTGGACATGTACAGACTTTTTTCTCTTGTCATTATTCCCTAAATTATACTGTATGTACATTATATTAGGTATTATAATAATCTAGAGATGACTTAGAGCATACAGGAGGATGTGTACACGTTATATACAAATAATATACAATTTTATCTTAGGGATTTTTGGTATGTGTGCGAAGTCCTGGAACCAATCCCCAACAGACACCAAGGGACAGCTGTATAACACACAAGGCACATACAAATGTTTTCACTTAATGTCATAGCATTTTTATAAAGTAGTACGTAGCTTCCGTGTTGACAGTTTTTAATAGCTATCTAGTACACCATAAAAAAAGAGTAAGCATTTCCACTTTTTCCAGTACTATCAATTCTGCAAAAGTGGACATTTAAAAATAACTTTTCCATGATTTCGATTATTTCCATGGTGTAATTCTCAAATATCAAACAGCATCAAATTATATAAACGCATGTTTTGGAATACATATTGCTAAATTAGTGCTGAATTTTCTCTTAAAAGCACAGTACTTATTTAGATCTATTCCAAAAGCCTGAAATAACTGCTATCCTTTTCCTAACATTTGGTTATTGTTTGCATTTATGTTATTACAAATGAATTTTTACCACTGGTTGCTAATTCTCTTTTTTCCTTTTTTTGGACTTTCTGTTCATTTCCTCTGCACATTCATCTACTGACATCTCACACTGCTTTTCTCACCAATTTGAATAAGACTTTCATTCATTTTTCCTGCTTGCAGCCTGCCTTTCTGCTTAGCTCAGTCATAGCTTAGAAAGAAGGTGTGGTATTGTGTTAACAGTCTCCAGAGCCAAACTTTCTGGATCCAAACCTGACTGCCACCTACTAAGTGTGGGCTTGGGCGGGTAAGCAGTCTGCAAATGAGAATTGCATTAGCGTCTCCTCTAGAATCGCTGTGGAGAGGAGAGAGATGCACGGCGTGATCACCCAGTACATGTCAGTTATTACTGGGCATATTGTTAGCAAGAAGGGATGGCTCTGAGGCACGTAGGTGAACAGAATGCAGGCTAAAGCCCGGACTCAACTTCTCGCCCTCCAGGTGGTGGCCACCACGATACTCCTCACGATTGTCTTTGCCATTTTCGACTCCCGAAACTTGGGGGCCCCCAGAGGCCTAGAGCCCATTATCATCGGCCTCCTGATCGTTACCATTGCTTCCTCCTTGGGACTGAACAGTGGCTGTGCCATGAACCCAGCTCGAGATCTGAGTCCCAGACTTTTCACTGCCTTGGCAGGCTGGGGGTTTGAAGTCTTCAGGTAAGGAACAGCGGTGGGGAGGAGGCAGACAGAGTCATGCTGCGCCTTGCCAGTGGGGCTGGGCTTTGACACGGAGACCCAGAGGACAAGGTTAACCGTATACTCTGGTCATAAGTGTGGGACATTTTGCTGTGTGATGGGGTGTGGGGGTGTGTGTGTGTGTGTGTGTGCTATAAACCTGTCCCACATGATAATAATCCCTCAGTTGGCAGATGATTTTATGTGAACGTTTTAGCTGTGTAACTTGTCTGCAGATTCACTATGTGATAAAGTTGGACTAGAATTTGCATCCTCTGATGCCACTCAGGGCTCTATCCCGTGAACCACTTGACCTGTACTTCATTTACTCAACAGATATCTGTTGGGCATTATCTATGCTTTAGTAACCGTGCTAAGCAAGGAAATTTCAAATCAGCAAAACCACTCGCCTTGAGCAATACAGTAAGAGCTCTGGCAAGCTCCAGAAGTGCTGTGGGAACACAGATAACGGGTGACTAACTGCCAGGGGAGCTGGGAAAGACATGACTGCAAACGTGAGAGCTGAAACCGTTCTTGAGATATGCCTAAGAACTTTCTGATAGCACAGATGGAAGACTGAGCCTCAGCCTGGGAAACGCCAAGACTCCACACTTTCTACCTCAGAACATGCCCAGGAAATATGCCAACTGTTGGTACCTATCTTCTAAGGCAAACTTTGCCCCTTCACTCCTTCCCGCTTTCTCTGCATGCGGTCACAGAGGCCCCTCCTCGTCCACCCCTGGCACCTCCCTATGGGGAAGGAGCTCACTTTGGTTTATCAGGAAACAGGGCTCTACCATGGAGAAAAGAAATAGGAAAAACATGTGTGATCGTAATGCTAGTTTAATGTTTCCTGTAAGAACAAGGAGTGTGAGTGTTCCCGAATGATGACCTACACATGGAGTCATCAGAGTTTGGGCTGCCTCTCACCAGGGTGAAAAAGAAGCTGTTACAATAACTGGCACCATTCAGATCATCACCACAGATAACACTCAGGGCCGCCTCTAGAGTGTAAGTACCACGAGGACCTTGACAGCCTCTTCCCTGATGTACCCACAGTACCTAGAACAGGGTGTAGCTCATAGAAAGGCTCAATAAAAAGTTACTGAATAACAGAGAGAATAAATTCTATGTGCTGGACACCTCCTTGGAGCTGAAGGATGCAAAGCAACTCAGTCAACATTCCCTGTCCTCAAGAACGTGACAATGCAATACGTTTCCTAGAACAGCAGTTCTCAGCCAGAGGTGGGCAAATGTTACCCAGGGCATTTTTTTGGTTGTCACAACTGGAGCTGGGGAACGGGGATGCTATTGGCACCTAATGGGTAGAGGCCAGGAATGCGACTAAGCATCCTACAAAGCATACAGCAGACACCCCACGACCAAGAATTATTCCGTCCAAAATGTTAATGGGTTATGGTTGAGAAATTCTGCCCTAGAATGATTACAACTAGAACACGAGAAGGTCCCCAACTACGAAAGCTCTCTTACCTCCTTCCAACGGAGCAGCAGAAACATATGTCCTAAAAATCTCCTTTTTCCCAGAGCCCGGAATCAGCCTATGAGTTTCCCTTAATTCTGAGACTCTGACTGTACAGAGTCTCAGGAGACCACGCTCTTCCCCAACCCGCTTTGAGCCCTCCTTGGTGATTCATTCAAAAGCCAAAGAGTCATGGTGGTTCCACAACAGATAGAGATCTTGCCCAATGTTTCCTTGCTGTTAAGTCTATGTTAGGAGCCCATTTGGGGGAAATGCTGGAATCACCTAATGTCCCACGACCGTAGCTAGTATCCGGGTCTTTTCCCTTCATGCAGCCATTTATTCATTCATGCAGAGACTTGAGCTCTTACTCAGAGCTCTCTGCTAAGATGGTAAGACCTAGTTTCTGCCCTTCACTGTTTAATTTATATTCTACTTAAGAGGTTATTGCAGAAGCTCTTACACAAGGTTGAAGCAGCCAAGTGCCATTAAAGAGATTTAACTAATTAACTCCAGGAGTTGAGAGGTCTACAGTTCCAAATTTAAGAATTATGGGAGTAAAGGTGGGAGCATTTGTAAACTTTCGATATGTTTAAATAGGCAATGGGGGTATCTCAGACTGAGAGGATGGAAGTATCTCAGACAGAGAGAACAGGGGGATCTCAGACACAGAGAACAGGGGGATCTCAGACAGAGAGAATGGGGGGATCTCAGACTGAGAGAACAGGGGGATCTCAGAGAGAGAACAGGGGGATCTCAGAGGGAACAGGGGGATCTCAGAGGGAACAGGGGGATCTCAGAGGGAACGGGGGGATCTCAGACAGAGAGAACAGGGGGATCTCAGACAGAGAGAATGGGGGGATCTCAGACTGAGAGAACAGGGGGATCTCAGAGAGAGAGAGAACAGGGAGATCTCAGAGGGAACAGGGGGATCTCAGAGGGAACAGGGGGATCTCAGACAGAGAGAAGAGAAGGATCTCAGACTAAGAGAACAGGGGGATCTCAGACTGAGAGAACAGAGGGATCGCAGAGAGAGAGAACAGGGGGATCTCAGAGGGAACGGAGGGATCTCAGACAGAGAGAACAGGGGGATCTCAGACAGAGAGAACAGGGGGATCTCAGACAGAGAGAACAGGGGGATCTCAGACAGAGAGAACGGGGGGATCTCAGACAGAGAGAACGGGGGGATCTCAGACAGAGAGAACAGGGGGATCTCAGACAGAGAGAACGGGGGGATCTCAGACAGAGAGAACAGGGGGATCTCAGACAGAGAGAACAGGGGGATCTCAGACAGAGGGAACCCTTATTTAAAGACACAACATTAACATCACAAGTGATCTAGTCTGGCTGGAAAGACGCAGAAATAGGTTAAAGAGGGCAGGCGTCAGACCATAGAGGTCCTGGACTCCGAGAATGAGAATTTTGTTTTTTTTCTGCTCCCTATTCTGTAGGTTATGAGGAGCAGCAAAGTATTTGGGGCAAAGTTTAGCAGGTTTAGAATATCAACTTAGCAAAATTAATCTGGCCTTATCCAATACGACTGGAAAGGAGAGAGTGGGGAAAGAGAAACCCATCAGGAAAGAGCTGGTTGACTGCTAATCCTCAACCAAAGAGTTTTCCCCAAAACCTTTGATGGGTAACAGGTTTCCAAAGCATCCTTAGAGTGTCTCATTTTCTCAGAGTTCTATGTCCAAGGGAACCCCCTCAATAGATATCCTAGCTTGGACCTACATCTAAGGTCTTAGAAAAAACCAAGGCTACCTTATTCCCAGGTCCCTACATACCCCCGAAAGGCAAGCAGTGGAATGAAATGATGGCAGTGCTGAGGTGCCAGAGGGTCTGATGAGGGGAAGAGTCGACAGACCCTGGCTGATTCTTGCTTTTTCTTTTAAATGTTAAATGTTTCCCATCAAAGTTCTCTCCACTTATTCACCTTAGGATGTTGATGACTTAATCAGTGAAAGCTCTTGGGAGTATTATTAAATTTTTAAAATAGTCGACCCAAAGTAATGAATTCCTGAAGACGGTTCCTAGACGGTTAACATAGCACGTTCCTGGCATCCCCTGAATCATAGCGTGCAAATGATCACTACTTTGTATGTGTAAAGGACCAGACTGGGCAGGTCACCACATCTGAGTGCCTCCATTTGTGACTTTTGAACCTGACATAACCTGTCCAGCCTGAAAAAAGAAAAAGCGTCCACCCAGTGAAAGGAGGACATGTGTCCTCCTGGCTGATACTTTGGACTGTCATCTGCTAAAGGACAGGAAGAGATTTGCCATGAAGGGAAATGTTGGACCCAATAGGTAGCTTATGCTCACATCACGTGCTGAGCTCTAGAGAAGGCTCCAAGTCTTTACAGCCAAATGGGAGAAGCGGCCACCCTCCATGTCTCTCTCTAGAAAAATCCATCTGGATGTGGGCACTGTGACTGTGGCAGTGCAGCATCCTCACTCCCATGTAGTAAGAGTGACATCTGGTGGCTGCTGTGCTCGGGCTCAATGTTCTTCCATCAACCCTGCATGGACAATGGAGGACCTAGAGACCACTTAGATGGTCCAGGTGGAAGGGACCACACAAATGAGGTTCTACCACAGGGAACAGGGGTGGGGGGTGATTTGCTCAAAGACCTTCTAGGGAATCTTGAGATTAGAACTAGTCTCATGGATTCTAGGACAGGGGTCTTGTTTTCTGCTTATTCCCTTTATTGTTCTTTCTAATCAAAGTTGGAGATACACAAAGGCTACATGGCACATTTGTGTAGTTATTAAGCATAATGATGAAAATAACAGCAACGGGTCCTTCTAGAATCCAGCCAGAACACTGAAATTCTCACATGCCTCTGTGTGCTCCTCGTCTCCTACCTCCTCAGCATTTATCCGGAAGTTTCATGCTTACTATCCCCCACTTTCTAAAAACAGTTTTATCTTAAATGTATATATCCTTAAACAATATACTGTACACTTGCCTTTGCTTGTGAGTATTCCTGATGCTTGCTAAGAAATTATTTACATGTATTTTCTCTCTCCGAAGAAGATGGTGACAACTCCCAGAGACACCTGCTTTTCCCCAGAACTATAGCTTTGCTGTAACGTACAGACATTGAGGATTTCTGGAAGACACAGAGCCTTATCAGAGGGTAGCTTCCAGTTATGACCTTAAAAAATAAGCACCGACTTAAATTACGTTTAGTAGGCAATTCACACATCCACCTTAGATTTTTTAAAAATCCATTCATTGACTGACAAACATTTCCTGACTGTCTAGTTTGACTGTCCTCATACACTAGTGACGCCCAGAAATCGCTCCACATTCCGTCTGTAATCCACGGGCATCATTATTTCAAGATGAGGGAAAGGCAATTGCTGAGTAACTGAGCTAATCTTTACTAGGGGCCCTCCATCTTGACCATGGGCTCAGGCAGCGTATTCTCTAAGAGGAAAATAAATAAGACATAATATCTCACACATGCTAGTAGGACAATGAAACATGTCAGCTAAAATCAGGTGCAGCAGAAAATCAGGGGTGACAGTGGCCATGCTACAGTGAGTCCTTTATACTTAGTTCTTGCTGGATTAACGGGGAACCAGGAGCATGAGGAAGACTGACAAGTCAGTGGAAAACTAGACAGTAATACCAGGAGGAAGGCCAGGAATGCGGCACTAATTTCTTGTTTGATTTCAGAGCTGGGAACAACTTCTGGTGGATCCCCGTGGTGGGTCCTATGGTAGGCGCTGTCATAGGAGGCCTCATCTATGTTCTTGTCATTGAAATCCACCATCCAGAACCTGACTCAGTCTTAAAGGCAGAACAAACTGAGGACAGACCAGAGAAATATGAACTCAGTGTCGTCATGTAGTGGCATGCTCAGCTCTGGATTTGCAATCGGTCTGGGATTCTCTTCATAAACACGGCATCTAAGTGTCTGTGTTTTCACAAGCCTAGGATGGAACCCACCCACTTTTCTCTGCTAGCCACATGGGACATCTGATCGGAAAAGCACCTGAGTAAAAGTCTGGAAACACCCCTTCTCTACCAGTGTCCCCCAGCCCCGCCCCCCGGAATAACACTGACCATCCCCTGAAACAGCCTCCTCTCCTGCCCTGCTCATCTCATCCTTGATGGGAATTCTTCCCAGGTAAGCGCTGATCACTCGGTGTCTTGACAACAGTCTCATCTGAGTGGTCTCGGCTGCACTATCGGTATGAAATAGTGTCACCAAAACGCTTTTCTTCAGTGTCAACACAGATTACATTCTATCAACCAAACCCTGAGGTGAAAGACAGAACCACAGCTTCAGTCAACATATTCATGAATTAGGGGGGCTCATGGGTTAAGCCTCTAGATACGCTGTGCTACTGGACTTGTATCAATACTGACATTCTCCAACCCTAGTGGTGTGAGAAGCAAGAGAACGCGGCAGGAAAGCACAGGGGAGGACACTGCGGCATTCAGAAACCGCAGGAGACAAGATGGATTTGAGAAGCCAAATGGAATTTTTAATGGAAACCATTTATCAGATTAATCTCTTGCTCTCCTGCATTTTAGAGGACACCAATTAATTTCCTGGTCTTTAGCATATAATGACCTAAAATACAATTGTAACCTCAGTCATGAAAAATCCATCACTCTGCCTTCTTAGCTCAAATGTATTTTCCTAATTGCCCACTTGAGAACAGATATTTGACAAGTTCTATCAGCGACTGTGCCTGTCCGTTGTTTTACTCGTGCCGAGAAGCCAAAACTGAAAGCCACTGGCTCCTGGTCTAGCTGAATCTTCAGAGTGGGAAGTCCCCAAAGAGGTAACATTACCTTACTGGGCTTCACCATTCCCAAGGCACCCACATCATCTGACTTAATTCTCATAATGTGTACCTGAGGCAAATGCCACATTGCCTATTTTTCAATAAACAAAGTCTTAGGGAAGTCGCGTTGTCCAAGAGCACATGGAAAGTGAACATTATCTAACGCATTCCTCTACCTTTCAGAAGATTAGTAGCTGGGTGAGAATTTTTGCCAAATCTTTCTGGCCGGCCAGAAGTGGAATTGGCAGCTTCCAGAATATATCCAGCCCTGAACATAATGTTCCTCAATCTTAAGATGCAAAGACCCTCGTTTTCTGGACTTATTCCCACACTTACTGAGTACAGATGGAGGAAAGCGGTAGCAATTCAATCATACCTTTCATTTGCTGATAAACATTATCAGAAGGCCCTTCCCAAGCCACCTTTGGTCTTGCTAAGCCTTGATCTTCCTTCCTGCCAGCCCCAAACATTCCATTCAGGGCATTTCCCCCAGTTCAGTCTTTTCCCCTTGAAGTTCTCTAATGGATGTTACTTCTGAGAAAAGATCGCCCGCGAGTTACAAGCACCAGGGGATGCTCCACATCAGGGGATGCACCTTCAGTGAAAGAGTCAAAAAGCCCAGCATTCCCAAAGGCGTTAGGTTTCCCAGCTGCTTTGTGCTGATAACAGAACAACAGAAAGCAAATGGGAAATGTTTCTGGTGACTTATGTTCTACCATCTACGGACAAAGGGGATTTTTTTCCGGCTTGGAGGCTACCTGGATATTTCCTATTTGAAATAAAATTGTTGAGTCACGGTTGGTCGGTTGGTTGGTTTTTGCAGGTATTAAGATTACTAAGTCCGTTTAGTTCAGAGGTTGTCTATTGTGTCCACAAATTTGAATTTCCTGGAGGAATTTAAAAAAAATACCCAGTTGGTCCTTTGTAAACATCTCAGGTGATTCTAAAAATGCAGCAAGGGTTGAGAACAATGAATTGGGTAAATCACGTGGGTCTAGGGTTTCTCCGGCCAGGTCCAGTAGCGGCCAGGTAATTCCTGGCAGGATTCCAGAGTCCTGGGATCCTCATGGGTTAGACCAATGGTTTTCCTCCCTCCCTACTTCTCAAGGGAACATGTGGCAATATTTGGAGAAGTTTCTCGTTAACATAACTCGGAAGGGGAGGCTAATGGCCTCTAGTGGCCAGGGATGCCGCCAACCATCCTTCAGTGCAAAGGCAGCCCTCAGAACACATCATTATTTGGCCTAAAATGTCAATAATGCTGAGGTTGTGAGGCCCTGGAGTCGAGGAACGGCTGGGAGGAGAGTGAGTGGAGACAATGAAACCCTGCACTTTGATTCAGGTTCGGCCAAGAGCAGAGGAGCCAAACAAACCAGGAACACACCCTGGGGGCGGACTCTAATTCTTAGAGCAAGAGGCGACTCAAAATTTGAGTTTTGAGAATAAACTGTGGAATCTGTGATCTACACGGGTCCTCATTAAACAAAACTTGATGATTAATTACTAGGATTTATAAAGAAGAAATGTACCATTAGGGAAATCAACCCCAGGAAGATTTTTTTCAATTAAAAAAAGTGCTTTTGTTCCAGGTGCTGACACTCAAATTCCCTTCCCACCCCCTGTTGACAAGTAAGTGGATTTACCTTTGTGAAGTTCTTACCCAAGAGGATGTTTATATGTTTGAATTATCTGTATCAGAAGTCAGCTAGATAGAGCAGACTCATCCCATTTTTTAAATAGTTGCTTTAAGAGTTAGAATTGTGGCCGGGCGCGGTGGCTCACGCCTGTAATCCCAGCACTTTGGGAGGCCGAGGCGGGTGGATCACGAGGTCAAGAGATCGAGACCATCCTGGTCAACATGGTGAAACCCCGTCTCTACTAAAAATACAAAAATTAGCTGGGCATGGTGGTGAGTGCCTGCAATCCCAGCTACTCGGGAGGCTGAGGCAGGAGGATTGCCTGAACCCAGGAGGCGAAGGTTGCGGTGAGCCGAGATCGCGCCATTGCACTCCAGCCTGGGTAACAGGAGAGAAACTCCATCTCAAAAAAAAAATAAAAAAAGAGAGAGAATTGTAACATACCTCCTTCCCTCCCCCTCATCAATCAAAAAACTTGATAGGAGCATTTATCTTAATGCCAAAAACAGAATCTCTCTGATTCTTTAACCCCTTTCGATCTCAGAGCATGTCAAAGGTTGCAGGAGTTTTCTACCCGGTAACAACCAGTCAATATTCAGCTGTTAAACAGGATACTCCACGCAAAAATGACATGTGAAATTTTATCTGTATAATGTAAATTACTATTCCCCTTACATTGTTGACACAGACGCACGCACACACACACACACACGTCCTGCTTTAAGGTATGTCGATGTTCAGCAATATCGTCGTGGGAAAAAAATACAACTCCCAGTTACGGAGCATGGTTTCTAAGTTTTGTTCAGCCACAGAACCTATCGCTCAAATAAAATCTTGTGTGATACCCACAAGTGAACTGGAACTGCTGTAAATAAGGAAAGGAGGGGGGTCAGGAGCTTCATTCTGCTTGTGATGTCATCTTAAAAACATCCCTAATGCAGCCCCTACCAGGTCACTGAAGAGAAATTGTGCGTGTGTGTGTGTGTGTGTGTGCACGCACGCATGTGTGTTGGGGGAGTCTTCGGAACACAGTTTTACAGTTTGAAAATCATTGATAAAGACTAGGAATAAGTCGCTGGTGCACATTTTTATGAAAGTTTCAAAGACAGGACCTACCAAAGGCCCTATTAGTTTAATCTCAGGTCATTTTCCAAAGACTCTTAATAAATGAATCATATGGGGTGAACAGATTACCCAGCTCACCCTTTCACCCACACACATCACCACAGAACTGATGTGGTACAGCACTTCTCAGACCGGGAATTTCAGTTCTCTGAATCACAGTCCACACAGAGAATCAGTGGTAGTCCTGGTCGTACTTATTATGTTGACTGTCTAAGTCTGTATAAAAACAGACATTGTGAACTGTGCTGTAATAAACATACGTGTGCATGTGTCTCTATAATAGAATGATTTATAATTACTTGGGTATGTACCCAGTAATGGGATTGCTGGGTCAAATGCTATTCCTAGTTCTAGAACCTTGAGGAATTGCCACACTGTCTTCCACAATGGTTTAACTCCAACCAAAAGTGTAAAAGCATTCCTATTTCTCTACATCCTCTCTAGCATCTGTTGTCTCTTGATTTTTTAAAAAATGTGGCACATATATACCATGAAATACTATGCAGCCATAAAAAAGGATAAGTTCATGTCCTTTGCAGGGTCATGGATGAAGCTGGAAACCATTATTCTCAGCAAACTAACAGAAGAACAGAAAGCCAAACACTGCATGTTCTCACTCATAAGTGGAAGTTGAGCAGTGAGAACACATGGACACAAGGAGGGAAACATCACATATCGGGACCTGTTGTGGGGTGGGAGGCTAGGGGAGGGTAAACATTAGCAGAAACACCTAATAAAGATGGCAGGATGATGGATGCAGCCAACCACCATGGCACGTGTGTACGTGTCCAACAAACCCACATGTTCTGCACATGCACCCCAGAACTTAAAGTACAATAAAAGCAAATAGATAGATGACAGATAGACAGACGGATATGTAAGCAACCGACCGTGCTCCAGTCTCTTTCTTGCTGCTGGAAATGGAGTTGCTCTTGTTCAAGAGATGCTGTCTCTGCTCTGGATTAGTGAAAAGTGGGCCCCAGGTACACTGAACCTGAATCCCTGGAACTATGTGTCTGGATTAGTGAAAAGTGGGCCCCAGGTAAACTGAACCTGAATCCCTAGAACTATGTGTCTGGATTAGTGAAAAGTGGGCCCCAGGTAAACTGAACCTGAATCCCTGGAACTATGTGTCTGGATTAGTGAAAAGTGGGCCCCAGGTACACTGAACCTGAATCCCTGGAACTATGTGTCTGGATTAGTGAAAAGTGGGCCCCAGGTACACTGAACCTGAATCCCTGGAACTATGTGTCTGGATTAGTGAAAAGTGGGCCCCAGGTAAACTGAACCTGAATCCCTGGAACTATGTGTCTGGATTAGTGAAAAGTGCGCCCCAGGTAAACTGAACCTGAATCCCTAGAACTATGTGTCTGGATTAGTGAAAAGTGGGCCCCAGGTAAACTGAACCTGAATCCCTGGAACTATGTGTAGATGCAGATGCCACCCAAGGCAGCTGGACTCTGTCTCCCTCCAGGGCCACTTATGTTTCTAGCAGCCTTAGACACTTTTGCCCTCCTTGACCTCTCCTCAGCCCCAAAGCATCAATTAAATCATTTTGTAATTGTACTGGTGACAAGCTCTACTGTATTCTTTTTTCCTGGATGAGGTTTCAGGAGAGATTTCAGCCTTTCCGTGGTCTCCTGGAAGTAGCCTGGGCTCCAGGCATAGTGCCCAGTGAGGAATTCCTGCTGCCTGCCACTACTTCCCTAGTCCAGTGTGCCTGTGTCCCAGAGCCCAGCACACCACATTGCCTTCCTCCACTGGACGCTCCACTCTCTTGACTGTGGGGTCTCAGGAAATGCTGGGGGAGCCTTGGGAGTCCTGGAGGTTGTGAGAGATGCTCCAGAGACCAGACCACTGTTCGTGGGGATCGGCCACATCGTGGCCCTTGGCCCTCCGCCATCTCCCTGAGGCTCCCAGAAGGAAAGAAGCTTCCTGACTTCCTTCCTGCAGAGGAAGCAGGGAAGTCCTGGGCCTGAGGACCTCCCATGCAGAGTCCTGCGTGACGTGTTACTAAAGCACAATTCTTGTGCTTTAATTCTGAGTGTCTCACCGTTCACAAAGCGTGTTCACATCCAGGCCTCTAAGACTCTCAGAGCAGCTCAACAAGTAGATTATTCTTTGGGAGGCCGAGGCGGGTGGATCACGAGGTCAACAGATCAAGACCATCCTGGTCAACATGGTGAAACCCCGTCTCTACTAAAAAATACAAAAAATTAGCTGGGCATGGTGGCGCGTGCCTGTAATCCCAGCTACTCAGGAGGCTGAGGCAGGAGAATTGCCTGAACCCAGGAGGCGGAGGTTGCGGTGAGCCGAGATCGCGCCATTGCACTCCAGCCTGGGTAACAAGAGCGAAACTCCATCTTAAAAAAAAAAAAAGTATATTATTATCTCCACTTAGAGATGGGGAAACTGAGGCTTGAGGCCTTAAACAGTTTGTACCAAGTTCCAGGATGAAGAGTGGAAGACGTCGGATGAAAACCACATGTCCTAGTGTGGTGACCAATCGGCCCAGGTTGCTTGGGACTCAAGGGTTCCCCGGGATGCAGGGTGCAGTGCCAATACCAGGACCAGTTGGTCACCTCTGTCCTGAGCCTGGACTCCCGCACTTCCCACCACTGAGCCTCCTTGCAGACGGATGCTCTCCTTCGGGCTCATTGTCTCGCAGCAGATAAAATGTTCTTCGATTAATTTGACAGAAAGAGAGAATGTCTTCATTTTTAATTTCAATTATAAATGTGAATAAATATTTTAACAGTGCCACAGTGGTTTAGAGCATAGGTTATTAATGAAAATTCTGTCAGCTCTACCTCCCAAACGGATTCCAAATCTGACCTCTTCCCTCACACAGCTCTAGTCTAAGCCACTGCCCTCTGTCTCTGAGTTCTCAGAAAAGCCTCCTAACCGGTCTCCCTGCCTTTCTGCTTAAACCCCTCCTGCCAGTAATCAACACAGCAGCCTGTGTGATCTTTACAGAAAAGCCCTAGTGGACTTCAAAGCGTCACGTGCTCTGACCTCCCTGGCCTGGTCTTGACTGC